GATCTTGAAAGCTAAACTGGGTTGGGCCTGGTTAGTACTTGGATGGGAGACCACCTAGGAAGACCAAGCCCTGTAGGCTTAAAAAATAAGGGATTGTAAACTGACAAGGTCCTTGCAAAAGAATAACTTTCTTGTTCCCTTACAGAGCCAGTGTCTTTGAGGCATGTCTCCACAAATAAATGCTGCAGGCATGTATAGAAGACAAGAAATTGTTCAGACTAGCCACAACAGGATTAATAGTCAAATTTGAATATGCTAATTTGTAAATTTGTAAACTTTTGTTCTAGCCTTGAAACTTGAGTATTTAAAAGCTTTCCTCAGAGCCATTTTAATGCTATGCTAAATTTAAATGTTCGAATTTGACTTAAATTTAGCTGAAATGCTTGATTTTTTTCTTCATGAAGGGACTGGAAAAAACAAAGTATGAAAAATTGCAGTTCATTTAACTTAAATCTTTATCCTGTTCCTTTTTTTTTTTGATAGGCTTTCTTATTCTTTAATCTAAACTAAGAATAACCAGATTCAGAATTATTTAGAAGTTCCAAAAATAGTACTGTATCTCCTGGTTGACATGGTTAAAATTCTAATGAGAAACTAGATCTAGGTTTTTTACGTAAACTGTTTTCTGAGTTGTTGAAAATAGAACAAAACATTTTTTCTTCAGTTACCTGTCTACAACTGCATTTTCCTAAATAGACACACTACTATGCTACCACCTTAAACTCTCTAATATAGTCAGTGTTAATTCATTGACGTAACACACAGCCATTGAGAGTTTACTATGCAGAAAGACTGAGTTAGGGCACTGGAGGCATAGGGGAGAAATGGTGGCAAACCACAATGGGTAGGTGGGCTTATCCCTCAGATCGCTGAAGAATTCAAATGGACAGCCACTCAAACATTTAGTACAAAACCATGTTGGACAAAAAGCAAATAAGTTCCATTTTTATGTATTATACTTCACAAGGTTGTTATACAAATCAAAAAAATTATAGCTTCTGGCTCAGAATCAGTTTGCTGAGATGGAGCCCAGTGGTTTAGGAGTTTGGTCGTTAGCTTTTTTTAATTTTTAACAGCTTTATCAGGATACAACTCTCACATCATACCGTTCATCCACTTAAAGTGTACCATTCAATGACTTTCATATATTCATAGAATTGTGCATCCACCACCACGGTCAGTTTTAAAGCATTTTCATTACTCCAAAAAGAATCACTGTACCCCTTACCATCATATCCCAGTCCCTTCATCTCCCCACACCCCGGCAAGCACTAAACCACTTTAAGTTTCTATGGATGAATTTGTTTATTATGGATACTTCATGTAAAAGGAATTATATAAAATGTGGTCCTTTGGGACTGACTCCTTTTAATTAGCATAATGTTTTCAACATTTGTCCATGTTGCACATATCAGTACTTCTTTTATTGCCAACTAATATTCCAGTTTGTTCATTCATTCATCAGTGTCATAATGGACATTGAAAATGTTTCCACTCTTTGACTATTATGAATAATGCTGCTGTGAACATTCATGTTTTTGTGTGGCTCTGTTTTCATTTCTCTTGTATATATCCAAAAGGAATTGTGGGATCATATAGTAACTACATTTACCCATTTGCAGAACTTCCAAACTACTTTCCAAGTGATGGAACCATTTCAAAGTCCCACAGGCAATGTGTGAGTCCAATTTATTCACAGCCTCTTCCACAGTTATTATTTGTCTTTTCTGTCATAGTCATCCTGATGAGTATAAAGTGGTATTTCATGGCTTTGATTTGCATTTCCCTGATAGCTGATGATGTTGAACATCTTTTCACGTGCTCATTGGCTATTTGTATATCTTCTTTGGAGAACCATCTCTTCAGATCATTTGACTATTTTAGAACTGGCTTATTTGTCTTTATTTAATTGTAACAATCCTTTATATATTCTATATGTGAATCCCTTATGATTGGCAGAAATGTTCTCCCATTTTTCAGGTTTTGTTTTCACTTCTTAATAGTGTCCTTTAATCTTAATAGTCATATCCAGCTTACGTTTTTTTTGTTGTTTCTTGTACGTTTGGTGTCATATCTAAGAAACCATTGCCTCATGAAAGGTCACAAATATTTCTACCTTTGTTTTCTGCTAAAACTTTTATAGTTTCAGCTCTTACTTTTAGATCTTTGATCCATTTTGAGTTGTTGTGTATATGGTGGGAGATAAGAGTCTAGTTTCAATCTTTTGCATGTGGATAGCCAGTTGTTCCAGTACCAGTACCATTTCTTGGCAAGCACTTAACTTTTTATCATCAGAGAAATGTTTACCATGTGGCTCAAAGTGGTAAATGTCAACATTATCTCAAAAAAAAAAAAAAAGAAATGTAGTCTGCAGTGTACAAGGTTGACTCTTAACATCCAGTTCCATATCAAATGCTTACATTTTCTTAATGACAACACTCCAGCAGAGTCCTATAAAGGTTTGTTCATTTGTTTTCTGTGTGTGTTTTGGGACAGTGGTGTAGATGTGGAGAATGAGTGAACTTTAAAATTCACAAAAATCCTTCACTTTTTGTGTGTATAGTTTGTGCCAGGCATATACTAGGCCTGGCACAATTTATGTACCCAATATGCCCCCATTATATTGACTACCCTTAAGACTTGTTACTTATAAGAGAAATGAAACCTGTGAATTCTAAATGAGTGATGTATGAAATCTTTATTTTCTTGCATATCTAGGGTGAGTCTTTGGTGGACACTTAACATGAGACTATCAGAAATTAAAGGTACCTAAGTAACTACATGGTCCAAATCGTCTCATTTTCTAGATAAGGAAATGAAGGCCCAGAGAAGGGACTGAATTACCTGGGGTTGCATATCTAATTAGTGGTAGGTTAAGTCTCAGTAAAACAATAAGATCTCAAGTAAATTCTGCCTGTGTTTGATTGCATGCTCTTGAATATGAGTCCACTAGGTAAGGTGGATACACTCCATTTGACCCATATATCTGACAATTTTATAACTAAGAAAATGTAGTCTAATTACTATATATACAAATGGTTCTCTACATTAGGTCTCCGTGAAAAACTATTTTCAAAGCACCTTTACAGAAGAAAATGTGTCTCCCTTCTTTGATTATGCATTCTCATGTTTAACAACGATCACTCTCAGAAAGATTTCTTTATATCAGAAGCTTCCATATTTGGGTTCCATGAAGCCCTAGGGAATCTTTATGTACACAATTTAATTATGTACACAATTTAATTCACAGCTTTTGTAAATTTTTCAAAGAACCGGTAACCAAGATCAACCTGAATTCTCAGTCTACAAGTTAGCCAAGTTTCTTTTTGCCTCATCTTCCTTGGAAGACCCTTACTATCCTCCATATTATAACTCTCTGCATTCATTTGGAGATTCTTATTATTTCCAAATGAAGAGTTACAGATCAGTTTAAATTTTCTCATAGGCTCTTTCTTTTCTCCACATACTAAATCATTTTTATGGTGGTCTTTTGAACACTTTCCAAATTCTTTGTAAATCTGAAAGCCAAAGAAATTGAAGTTAAAAATCATTTATTAATGAAGATCTAGTTTAGGAGCTTGGATATGCTGACAGTGGTGTCAGAGGGTTAGGGGCAACAGAAGCAAGGTTAATAAGATATGTCCAAGAACACCCCCCATTCCTGAAGGTCGGCTAGGCAGAACCTCAAGGTCAAAAGAGACAGAGGGTAAGGGGCCCAGGTAAACTTAAAAGGATTGGGCACATTTCAGAGTTCAAAGCATCGTAAATAGATCCTGGAAAAAAAAAGGGGCATGTGGTCTCCACATGTAATCCAAGGATTAATGGCAAGAACAGCAACACTTGAGGCCATGGTACTGGTGACAGTAATAATTTGGAAGGGATCCTTGGGGGTCATGGTGAATTTGAAGGATAAGAACTATGCCAAAGAAGTCCAACATTCCCTTGTCACTGAATGATTCTATCTCTATTCCTATGCTAGGGTCTAGGTTTTATTTTACTAGCAAAGAAGCAGTTCCTTTATGAATCATATAATGAAATACTGATACCGAGCCAGTTAGTTTGATGTGGTTGCTATTAGAGCAGCATCTAGATCCCAAGCATGGCTGGCCTAGGCCCTCAGGCAGTAGTGAGAACTGTTGTAGTGGTAGGATGAGAGGGTAGAACAGAAAGAATGGCTTTGGTGATACAACCTTAACTTCATTCAAGGCTGTTTGTTACTCTATTGTTAATTTTACTCATCCATATTCAGTAGCAGACCCTCTGACTCTATCTAGAGATCTTAAATATATAAGATTGAATTTAGAGAGTAGCTACCTGAATAATTCAAGTTGAATAAAACATCATCTACCACAAATTTGAAGTCCTCTGAAACAGAGTACCTAAATTATACAGTCAATTCTGTATGTGTATGCTGCTTAGAAAAGAAAAAAAAAAAGTTTTTTAAAAAAATTATAGCAAAAAAATCTATTTGAAGAAGGGATTCCCAAAAGTATAAATATTTAAAATTAGAAGTCTATTAAATGTGTAAGAGTCTAGTCTTCATCCTTTGCTTTAACATTTTTGTCTCTTTACTTGGTCTTTTCAAATCCTGTCTTTCCTCGAAGCCCAGTTTGGTGCCTACCCTGAGATAATAGAACCACGTTTGATGCATTTTAGAGTATAAATGAGATCATACAGTTCTGTATTTAGCACAGGGCCTGACACATAATATGCAATATTTATGTTAGCTACAAAGGGTAATGGTTGTGATACTGCTTTCCTCAAATACTCTAGTTAGCATTTAATCTGCTTATTCTCTGACCATAAAAAAACTTGCTGCCTATACCACTTTTTCACACTTAGTATCCTAGTTTACATGTTATTATTTTATCTCTCTAAAGAGATTGCAGATTCCTTTATAGGCAGAGATAGGCAAAAAGTTACTGAATTGGATTGAAAATTGGCATTTACTTTCTTTACAAGCCATGTGTTCTTCATTTTGATTTTTTTTTCCTCAATAGAAAATGAAAACACTAGCTGAAAGGAGGAGGAGTGCTCCATCTCTTATCCTGGATAAAGCCCTACAAAAACAGCCTAGTACCAAGTAAGTGAAAAGTTTTATACTATGCATTTTGTATGGGCTACATTTTTTTATATGTGGGGTTGTTTGTTGATTTTTTTATCAGCACCAGAATTCTCTCTTTAGTAATAGGAAATATGACTTCTGTCCTGAGATTATTTAATAAGGCTTGTTCTTTTTGCAAATCATAAAGCCTTTTAGAGCTGGTAACTATGGTTGATTGTTTTAAAACTGGTTCAGAAGTGGCTCTCGTATCACATGGTAAAAACATGAAAGTTCCACATATTGTTAAAATTTATTTATGAAAACAATTAGAAATCAGAGTACTAAATATGAGTGCTTTTAACCACCATACATGTTTGATGACCCACAAAACTTTGCCTTTTTTTTTTTATCATAAGGTGATGCCTGTGCATGGGTATAACACAAATTGTTACTCATTTTAGATTTGAAGAAAGATAACCAGATTAAGATTATGAGAAAGTGGAATGTTGATTTCTTTTAGGCATTATTGGTTAAATTAATTAGTGAATTAATCAGCAAAATTTGAAATGTAAAAACAAGCTAAATATCTATTGAAATGATCATTTCACCTGTTGAGACTGAATACTATTTCAGTGGACTTTTTAAGAAAAGCTTTTATAATGTCTAGAAATTAAATGGATATTCAATCATTAATTTATTTATTAATTTCAAATCACATTTGAACTCTGAGTTTATGTTCAAACGAATATTGTGATGATTTTCCCCTAATCTGTAAATTCTTTTATTAAAGAGAAATCCTTATCATTTTCATTTAAAGTGAGGTCATTTCTGATATTTCTATGTGTTAATTTAACATAAAATCTATATGTAGGCATGGCATTTTTTTAATGCCAAAAATATATTATTTAGTAAATTACATTTAGTGAAACTTTCAAAATACTAGGTCATTCTTAGACTCAGCAAGTTCTCAGACTCCGGCAGCCACCCTACCTTACCCCGAAAGACACATGCTTTAGTCATTGGGTTGATCAGGAAATGTAAATTACTTTTAATAGAAGCCTAATCAAAATTTAATTAGGAAGATATTCTACCAAATAAATACAGTAATACATTAAAGTGCCATATATAAATGACTTTTGAA